TTTTCTTCATTAAAAATGAAGATAATTTTACCACAAAATAAAAAACAATTAAACAATAAAATAAAATATAAAAAAAATATTAATATATTTATTATATTAGATATAACAACATAATTAAAATATAATTAATAATATATATTTTATAAAATTATTAATATTTTATATATAAAAAAAAGAATGAAAAAAATTTTAGTGGGGGCAAGTGCCCTCACTATGATTAACTTAGATCTGTCCCCGCATATGGTTGTGTGGTGAAATGTTAGTCCTGTGTATCTTCTCCTTTTACTTCAGGTTCTACCTCTTCAAGAACAGGTTGTTGTTGGGGTACATCGTCAATGACTTCAAGGAAAAATACCATGTCATTTCATCATTTACTGGTTTCAATTAGGTCCCTAATAAATTAATTAGTTTCAATGTGGGACTTCTGTCCAAATTTCTTTAACGGTGTTAATTGTTGGCCACGTGGATGCCACGTAGATGACACGTGGATGCCAATTTTTTTGAAAATACTTGGAACCAAAACGACCCGTTCTGGTTGCACTTTTAGTATGTTAATTTTGCAACTGGAACGGGTCGTTCCGGATGCAAAATTAACACATCAAAAGTTTAACCAGAACGGCCCGTTTTGAAACCAGAACGGGTCATTCTGGTTCCAGTTATTTTAAAAAAAAATTGTCATCCACGTGGCATCCACCTATGCATCTACGTGGCATCCACGTGGTGAACAGTTAACTCCGTTTAAATAATTTGGACGGAAGTCCCACATTAAAACTAATTAATTTATTAGGGACCAAATTGAAACAAAAAATAAAAGTGGGAATAAATTGAAACAAACAATTATTATAAGGACGAAAATAGGTTTTAACCCTATTTTTTAATTTCCAACTGAATCATAAATTGTAATGCAACATCCGATTCTTTATTTTAGATTAGGGTACAGTTGAGAAAATATATTAATTGGATCTTATATTTCTAAAACATTAATAATTTTGAAATAAAAATAAGAGTGAAAACATGCATCAATAAATATGAAAGGAAAAAATGGGAATGCTTCTTGTACTACACTTTTGGTGTGAACAAGGATAACTCCCGCCCATATATAGTTAAAAATTAATTCTTTTGAAATGTATATGTGAAAATAACAAAGTGAATTTTGTCCTTTTTTAATAAAGCTTTTGTATACATAAAATTAGAATTAATTTTTTATTGAATAAGTGTTTATCATGCGAGCATTTATGTATGTAAATGTTGTTTTTACAATTGAAGAGAAGTATAGATTATATTATTAACAAAATGAAATTTAGTTGCATTCTTAAATGTTTTTAGCATTATTTTCTAATAAAATTAAAGGTTTGTCTGAATAATTTTTGTAAAAAAAGTTTGTATTGAAGATCAAACAAAATTATTAAGAAAAAAGCTTTAATTTAGAAGAAAGAATAACATTAAAAAAAAAAAACAGAAATTTGATGTTCTCTAAAATACGTTAGGGTGGAAGATGGAAATGAAGATGGTTAGGTTACCCTAGTATTCGAATAGCACTTTCTCTAAGTGTTGAGCCAATGCCAATCAAATCAAGTGCACGCCAGCCATTTGCCTGTACTATTATAGCTGCTCCTGTTGCTCGCAAACTCTCTGATCTTTCTAACACCAAGCTTTTTATTCTCTTCCTGCAAGTATGCAAATGGAATCAAATAATCATAAATATTAAGATTAAGTGGTGATTTTAATAAAGTATCATCAAGTGTTTGGTGCCACAATTTTAAATTATGAATTAACAAAACAAGCCAAATAGTGTGGATCTTCCATTTCAGAAGATGAATAGGTGAAAAAGGTAGCACTGGAAATATTAAAGAGTATTAGCTTCATGTCTTTATTAGTTTCTTAATTTTCGTTTTATTTAATTTCTGCGATGGAAGTGGCAAAAGAAGAGAAAAGAAAATAACAAAATGGTGAAACAGCGATGTTTGATATATGTCACTTGATCGGCGTAGATATTACAGAATTTAAAATCATCTAAAATCCATTACATGTAATATAAATTGTTGAATAGGAGAATTACGCGATTTGAATCGGAAAATGATGAAAGCATAAAGAAGATTGCGTAATGAAACCTGTGAAGGGCAAGGGCAGTTGCAAGGCCACATATACCACCTCCCACGATCACAATGTCGGCATCAAAAGTTAAATCCATCTTCTTCACATTGATTTTCAACAAAGTTTTGTTTATTTCTTCTACTTACTTTTATACCATCTATCAAATCTCAATTTCACATCAATTGTCTCACACACCTATATGTATATTACCAAGATTAATTTTTGGGGTTAATTCCTTTAATTAATATCAACAACCCACAATTTACTTTGCATGATCTTGCGTAAATGAAACAATAAAACAATAATTTCTTAATCCATCAATATTTTTATTTTTTTTACTCGTTAGAATATATTTTACATAAAAGTTTAATGTTAATATATTACTATTATAAAAATAACAATTTTAAATTTTCTTTTAATACTTTTTTTTATATCTAAAACTTCACTTGAAAATTAAAATTAATGATAATTTTAAACATCATTTTTTTCTTAATTTCCACGATCAAAGTTAAGCGTGATTTATAAATATTTTTATTTTTATTTTTATTAATTATGATGTCTTTTTATTAGCAAAATGACGATGGTTCGAGTTTCAAAGTCGACAATAATTTAGACGTTGGTCACTATAATATTTAAGAACAATTTTGTTACGATATATATTATACTGTATGGTGACCGACCAACCCGACCAGTCTGAACACCCGAGATCGACACCAGACACCCGAACCCGCGGACGCTTAGGCCTTGTTCCGAAACCGCCGACAACTCATAACTTGAGCGTAATAGGTCGGTATGCTCGGTCGAACTCCGCACCTACGTCAGGATAATTACAGAGATTAATTAACATAATGGATCGGATTAGCCCCCTAATTTTCCGGGGCCCAACCCCTAATCACGACCCAATAAGAACCACTATAAATAGGACCCTAACGAGGTATGTAAAAACCAACTCAACTACCGCATTTATTACGCCGAGCACTTACTTGAATGTTGAAGTATCTTTGCAGGCACCCCCTCACTTCGGACTACTTGGAGCAGGACGAGAAGACCTAGACCCAAGACTAGACCCGCTGCAACAAGGATAATTGAAGTGTGTATTCTAACACAAGAAAATATATTATTTGTATATCAAAACTCATTAAATTAAAAGATATCACAACACGTTTTTAAATTGGGTATAACATTTTATACTTACAATATAATTAAACTCTTTATACAAAGTCGGATAAAAAAAAACTCGCTATATTTAGTGTGTAACCTGGTAATTAGTAAAGAAAATATGACAACATACCGTTACTTGTCTTGTACAATCTAAAAAATGCGTCAACTATCTTACATAAATGATAATAACTATACCGTATGGTGCCGACTAGGCCGAGCCATCCGAACGCTTTGCGTACCCGAACACGCCGAGTACCCGACACCACCGACCCCACACGAACGTACGGAACTTATCGGTACGGTCGGCCAAGGTCAGCGTCATTACCGGCTTAATTACGGATAGTTAATTAGCATAAACTTCGGATCAGTCCCCTAATTTCCCGGGGCCCAACCCATAATCACGGCCCAACACGAACACCTATAAATAGAACTCCTGAGAGGTATGTAACTACTTTTGACCTACCGCATTTATTACGCCGAGTACTTACTTGAGCGTTGGAGTGTCTTTGCAAGCACCCCCCCTCTCGCTTCGGACCGCCCGGATTGAACGAGAAGACCGAGACTCAAGACCAAACCTACTGCAACAAGGATAATTGGAGTGTGTATCCTAACACAGGAACAATAACTATAGAATAATTGTTTTAATTCCTAAATTGATCTCAACAACCAGCTGTGTTCTTTGCGTGAGAAAATAAACAATTATTTCATCTTTTAAATCCATCAATGTTTAATTAATTAGTTTACTAAGTTAATATTTTTAATCATCTTTTTGACTTTTACAGTATGAATTACATACAAGTTTTAATTATTTTATTATTCAACTATGTCAAATTCTTTAGAAAATTTGGCAGCACGTAATTAATATAACAGATTCATTAAAAGATAGAGATTACAAGTGTAAAAAAAACTATACTTACGTTGTATTGGTACCAAAACTAACATAGCAGATTCATTAATTAATTTATTGGTAAAAAAAATAATGAAATTCTTAACTTATATGTGTGTGACCGATTTTCTTTTTGTAATTAACTGTAGTATCTGATAGTTGTAATTAACTGTAGTATCTGATAGTAAAATTAATATTTTGTTGAAATAAAGTTATATATATATATAAATAAAAAAAGATGTTGGAAAAGAAAAAAAGAAATCCTTGTAATATTGAATAAAAAATAAGTTTGTGGTGGCTTTAGCAAGAATGTAAGAAATAAAGAATGCATTCCCTTTGTAATAAAGAATTAAGTGCATTGATTATGTTTAATTGTGTTATAGAAGGGATTTGGATTTAGCGAGAATGGAATCGGAAGCGAGAAAGGGAGGGACGGTGCTCCACTAAAAAAAAAAAAATGGAAAAATCTGATTAAATACGAAACATTTGCCGACTCCACTACTGTCTTTGGGTGAATCGGGAGGATGCTCTGTTTGGGTGGATTCAGTTGCAGCAGCGGGGTCTCTCCCCCAATCAAACCGAATAACAGATTCCTCCTCCACAGGCCCACATGGCGCCGATTCAAGGCCCAAGAGTCTGACTCTTCTTTTGCACCCTCTCTCGACTCCGACAAAACCGCTGCTGCTGGGTCACTCTCACATCCTTTTATCCCTATCTTCTTCCTTCTTTTCCCCTGATTTACCCCTTTCTTCTTCTCACCGCAGATTCTGCATCATAGAAGGTCCAGAAACGGTGCAAGATTTTGCCATGATGGAGCTTCAAGAAATTCAGGACAACATTCGAAGCCGGAGGAACAAAATTTTCTTACACATGGAAGAGGTCGCTAACTACATCTTCATATTACTTGCTGCCTAGGGTTATATTTTTCCTGTATTGAACATTATGTTCATTTTTTATTTTCTCTTTATTCACTTTCCAATTTTTGTGCAAATAACTTGTTCAAAATTGAAATTGCCAATCATGCATTTTACTCTCTGGGAAGTCCTATTTGCAAACTATATCCTCTTTTTTTTTTTTTTGTAGGTTCGTAGACTTAGGATACAGCAAAGAATTAAAAATACTGAACTTGGAATTGTAAAAGAAGAGCAAGAGAATGAACTTCCTAACTTCCCGTCATTCATTCCATTTTTGCCTCCTTTGGTAAGTTTCTTGGAGTTTGTCTTAGTTCCGAATCACCTCAATTTTGCCTTTAATAACAGATCACGTGGATTTCTCATTGTTCTTGATGAGCACGAATAATTTACTTTTCATTGCAAGGGTTTGGCAAATTGGTAATAATACATTTATTATTTGCAGACTTCGGCAAACCTCAAGCAATATTATGCAACCTGTTTTTCTCTTATTGCTGGGATAATTCTTTTTGGTGGTCTCCTTGCACCCAGTGTAAGATTTTTCTGCACCTAGTTCTATGTTTTCAAGCATATATTACCAAATATGAAATTAGCCGGGAATTTATTACTTGGTTGTTCCCTTTGCAATATTCTTTTGGATTAAATAACTTGGAACAAATTGACTTCATTTACTTTTGCATTAAAAAACATTTTTCTTGATTTGAATCTAAACTCATTGTACTGGTGCAAGAAATGTACCATTACATATTCAACTCCATTATTACTTCTCATCAATAACAAAAAAAATGAACATCAGTAATTTTTTAAAATCCAAGAGACTTTTCAAAGAGAAAGGAACGAACTCAGGCAAAAATTGTAATATTTCACTCATTATCAATAAATAAGCTGACCTCTCTACCTCATTTTACGCTAATATTTCAAGTGTTTATTCCCTTTGCATTGGGTGCATTACAAGTACTTAATTACTTAGCCTCATAGCTCTATCTTTAACTATGTTCTTTGCAATGACAATACTATGCATAAGAAGTACTGTAAATAGATTGGTACTGCTTTATTTATTTATTTATTTATTTATGCACATGTTACTTTTAATATATCAATCTTAACATAGAAAGAGTTATTACCATGTGCACTATTAGAAATTATAAAATGATAACTGAGAAAATGAGAGAAAGCAGGAGAAAGAGAGAAAATCTCAGAGAGAATTTGATATACAACCTATTCTGATGCAGAGTGAACTATATATAGGACACGTAAAACACATAACTTAGGGTCTTTTTAGATAAACTTCTCTATCAACACTTTTAAGAGAATAAAATAAGAATAAATGAAATAAGTTTTTCTAAAAGTTAAAACTAGCTTATGCTCAAGTTAATTTGTAGAAATTCTCTCATATTAATTTCTCCAAAATATTTTTTTAACTTATATATAAGTTAATTTTAACTTGTTGAAACTTATTTTATTTTTTCATTTTTTGTCTAAACAAATAATTGACAGCTATAACAGACCGTGCTAACTAATAACAGATAATTGACAGCAAATTTTTTTAGGAAACATAATATCTATTAGTGTTTGTAATAGAGACTGTGTAAGGCACATTGTATACTCTAACATGCACGTATGAAAGTCATACTTAATGATTTATACATTTCCTACTTTTATCTATCTTTTGTGGCATTTAGTAAACATGAATTTCATTTATTATTATTATTATTATTATTATTATTTACTTTTCATTTCAGTTGGAGCTTAAACTGGGACTTGGGGGCACATCTTATGCAGATTTTATTCAAAGTGTGCATCTGCCAATGCAGCTGAGGTAGTGCTCTTTCCTGATCCGCTGTTGTCATGTATACTTTCTTCTTGTAAGGAGCAACAGAAAATAGTATTTTTTCCCAAAATCCTGATAATGTTGAAAATTTATGAATAGAGCTATGTGTTATTTGTCTATATGGATATTTATTAGTGTTAGTTCATTACTGCTGAGATGAATATAAGTGCATTCTTATTATTATTTCCTAACTTAATTGAATTTGTTGGATATTGTAGTCAGGTTGACCCCATAGTAGCATCATTCTCTGGAGGAGCAGTTGGAGTAATCTCAGCATTAATGGTTGTTGAGATAAACAATGTAAAACAGCAGGAGCAGAAAAGGTGCAAGTACTGTCTTGGTACTGGTAAGATTTAAAATCGTCTCAAGTTATCTGCATTCTCTACTTTCTGTAATAATATAACTGCTGAGAATTGTGGCAAAGAATGCATACCTTACGTCCTTGTGAAACACAATGCATAGTCCTGGCAGTAACTATTTATTGCATATCACTCAACATCCAAAGTGTTTGGTTGCGTTTTATCAGGCAATTGGAGATTTTAATCATTTATCTGTTGAAGCTAACTGCTGGAAAGTTGACGTATGTATTATACTTTTGCTGTCAGGATATCTTGCATGTGCTCGCTGTTCAAGCACAGGGGCACTTGTTCTGATTGAACCAGTGTCCACGGTCAAAGGTGGAAATCAACCTCTATCACCACCAAAAACTGAGAGATGTTCAAATTGCTCTGGATCTGGCAAGGTTGGTTGTTTAAAAGTATTGGCTTCATGGTCTGTTAGCTTTGCACTAATTATACTAGAGAACAGCCATAATCTACATAGCTAAAGCTTGATGTCGTTCATTTCAAAACATCGGAATTATTACGAACAGTAGTAAGTGTAAAATTTTTACGTTAGGATGTCTTTTCCAACAGTGAACATGTGTTCGGCTATTTTTCAAGATGATTGCTATTATGGTTGCATCCTGTATGAAGCAACTCAAGCAAGTCTTGAGGGGGAGCTTTGTGTTCATATGAAAATTTTATACATAAGTTTAACTAGAATCATACTTTTCAAATAAAACTTTGCTAACATTTGTTGTTGAGAATTATTGTGTAATTGTCATTCTCAACTCTGACTGCAGGTTATGTGTCCAACGTGTCTTTGCACTGGAATGGCCATGGCAAGCGAACATGATCCACGAATTGATCCTTTTGATTAGAGGCTCAATAAATATAGTTATCCCGATCAGGCAATTTGAAATTATAAATTTCAAATTTGTGTTTTTTTTTTTGTTTCCTTGGCAGAGGAGGAATTTCTGTAAATATGTACAAACTTATAAGAAAAAGAAAGTTGGTGAAGAATATAGTCACTTTCCCTTTATTTTTTAGTATTGAAAGTGGTGCAGCAAGAGGTATATCATTATCATGTTTACTTTTTGTAAATGTTTGCTGGAAACCGCAAGTGATTAAACAGTCGCGTTTTTCGACCAAAGACCGAGACTACACCTCATGGTTATTAAAAGAAAAACCATTTTCTGTGGCAAGCTTCACTCTTTTACAAACACGACCTAGCAAATATATTATTGTTAGTTCATGATTCTTCTAATTATATACTATTTAGTTTTTATAGAAACTAAAAGGCTTAATCGTGTTTTTTATTCTTCTAATGTTAATATGTGATTTTGGTTTTCAAGATTCTAATTGAGATAATTTAACTCCTTTAAATATTTTAATTGTGGGATTTTTGTTTTTTCAATATTAATTAATGAAACAATTCTAGTTATTCAAGCATGTGAACAATTTAGTCAATTCATCAACAAATAAATCATTAACTTTTCTTATCTCAACTCCAAGTCAAAGAAGGGAAAAATGAAGAGTTAGTTTTGAGTTTTTGAATCTCTAAGATGTTTTGCATCACACCTTCACATTGATGATCTTTAGCTAAGGCCTCTGATTAACACTTAAAACTTAAATAGGGATCTATTGCGCTCCCGAGAAGCCTAGAAAGGAAGAAGGGTTTAGAAATTAAAATTTCTTTCTAATTCTTTCTCTAAGTTTCTCTAAGACTCAAGTTTATGAGATTCAAATTCAATATAAAAAAAAATTATATACTCTTTCTTCAGATTAACTGGATCTTTAATTAGAGAAATCCTCCAAACACTTTAACAATTCTATAAGAATTCTTTAACTTCTCAGAGTTACTCGATCACATTTCAAGTATCACATATGCAATTATAGGTTAAAACAACAATAAAAAGGTACAAATAAAAGTAGGAAAAATCTTGAACAAATTTTATTTTTCAAAATATATAAAATAAATAAATAAATTTTGTTATATAAACGTCTAATTAAAGAAACCCAAACAATATTTTTATATAAAAACTAAATGAATCGCAAACAATTTTAATCTCATGTAAACTATTTTTTTCACCAATCTCATATAAACTATTGAAATCAATAAAATAATAATTTAAAATATAGAATTTGTCGTATTTCATTTGTGCACTATTTATCGTATTTCATTTGTGCACTATTTATCGTATTAATAAATTAATCATGATATGTTAATATATAAATCCTTAGGAGATTATAATAAATAGGAGATTATAATAACAATTGAAAATAAAATACAAAAAATAAAATTTTTGCGAATAAAAAAAATAGACTCATTGCACTTCTTTCCATTCCGACAAAATATGTCTGAAATAAAAATAAAGTTTATACAAAAGATGAAATAATATCTATTTACAATGTCAATAGGATAAAAGCTAATATATTTTAGTGCCACGATATGATATCCTTAATGAATAAAAGGGACAATTTGTGAAAAATAAATATATTAAAGACCTTTAATTTTGAATTATATCGTGATGAAATAAAAATAGAAAGAATATCTAATATATTTATTATAATAATCACCTTAGTTAGTTTAAATTAAAATATATATTAATTAATATTAGATTATATATGTATGATAATAATCCCAATTACTATAATAAATGTAATAATTGATTTTTACAAATAGAACTAGGATATAAGTAGAATTTTTTTTTAATGTTTTTTGGTTAGTTGTAATCAACGTAGTTATTTAAAATTAAAAAAATAAATTTATTTATACAAAAAAAAATCATATATATACACTTATTTCTTTTAACGAGAATATATATACTTGTTAGTTGTTATAATCACTTTAATATTATAATTAAATATATTCTATTTACGATGTCAATACAACACACCGAAAGCTAACTTTTTTTTGGTATCACGACATGGTATCATTAATGAATAAAAGGAACAATTTAAAAAATAAAAAATTAAGCATAGAACTTTTAATTTTAAATTGTTATATTGTTATATACTTATATAACATATAAAAAAATCCGTGATGAAATAAAATTAGAAAGAATGTCTAATATATTAATTATAATAATCACCTCACTTAATTGAGATTAAAATACAAATTAATTAATACTATCAGAGAATATATGTATGATAATAATCTCAATTACTATAATCCATTAGTATCAATTGAATTGAATTTGTTTAAACGGAGACACCATATATTAACCTTCTTTTGAACAAAATCATTCCAAATTACTTGTATTAACAATTAACAATTCTATCATTTCATTAATGATAAGATCAAATGGACACACTATAAATTCGTTTATGTCTATTCTGGAACACACTCATTCTCACTTGCACTTGGAAATTTGTTTTTCACATTCTCTACCATTGTTTCTGAAAAAAGTAACATCGTCATGGAAATTCTGTTTATCATTATTTTCATATTATACTTTGTTTCACATTGTTCATGTAACAAACTACAAGAAGCTGCTGCAAAGATGAATACCTTCAATGTAATGGATTATGGTGCTTTAGGAGATGGTCACAGAGATGATTCTAAAGTAAATCTTTGTTATACTTTTTTGTTTAGATTGAATAATTTATTTTTTTGGTTTAGTGCATTAATTTGTCTAATTCCACTATGAAATTTGGTTCTTGTTACATTTTTTACTTGGACGTGTGGGGATCATAATATGCAATTCACAAGGCTTTTCTGAAAGCTTGGAGTGATGTTTGTGCAATGAAAGATGGCACTGCAACCCTCGAGGTGCCACACGGCAAAACATTCAAGTTGAAACCTCTTCAATTCAATGGTCCCTGCAATTTCCCTTCGGTTCATTTTCAGGTAAAAATGTGTACCCACGTGTAAGATCAAGAGAGTCACACAAAAAAGCTTACATTAATTATTTGTTTCATATAAGCTAGAGCCATTGGATTATGACATTAACATTTGATATAATGTGTAAAAGCTTGAAGGAAATATTATTGCACCAAGGAACACCAAAGCATGGAAGGGGCATGACTCTGAAAGATGGATTGAATTTTTGAACATTGATGGCCTTATAATTGATGGAGGTGGACAAATCAACGCCAGAGGTTCTGTTTGGTGGGAATTTTGTAGAGTGAGTTTTACTTTTCTACATTTAGAATTTATTTCATTTATATCCAATTGGGTTATAAGAAGCATCCTTAAAGTTTTACTTTTTATTTTTCAGGAGAATAGCTGTTCAAGACCAACTGTAAGATATATAAATATATGCGCATAAATTTTGTGGTGGAATCGAGTTGGCATTTTTATATTGAATAAATCATTTATTTCAATTGTGCAGGCCTTGTTTATTCATAACTGCAATAAATTCCTGCTAAATGGGACTCGTCATCTCAATAGTGCAAGAAATCATATATCTATAAATAGTTGCACTAACTCAAAAGTATATAATGTCACTACGATTGCCCCAGAAGATAGCCCAAATACAGATGGAATTGACATTTCTCAGTCAAGCTACATTCTAATCCAGGACTCAACCTTTGCAACTGGTATGCCAAAGGCATTGAAAATTATCAGTAGTAGCACTTTCTTGGAATTCCAGGGCATATAGTAATGAGAATATGTCAGTTTAAATATTATTTTATTAATTTAAATATTTTATTTCAATAGGAGATGACTGCATCGCCATTAATGGTGGCACATCATATATTAACATTACTGGTGTAACTTGTGGACCAGGTCATGGTATAAGGTACAAATACATAAGTTTTAATTTATATATCGATTGGATTTAGTTAAAATCTGACTCATTTATCTTTCTTATGGCTGTGTCCAGTGTTGGAAGCCTCGGAAAAAAACAATCTTATGAAGTAGTGGAACATGTTCGCGTATATAATTGCAGTTTCACGGGAACAACAAATGGAATGAGAATAAAGACATGGGAGGTACAAATATAAGACTTATATACATGTCATTTTTTTTTTGTGGTAAATGTAGGAACTAATTTCATTCTCCCTTCCTACAGGGTGGATCTGGGTATGCAAGAAATATCTCCTTCCAACATATCATACTTACAAATACCTCAAATCCTATAATTATTGACCAGAAATATTCAGATCTAACAAATGAAGGCAAAGAGCAGGTAACACTTGATTGCCTTATTAGCAGTATTTGGTATATATAGATACAGATGTATTGCAAAGTTTCAATGTGTTTTGAAGTATGATCTTACAGACATCTGCAGTGCAAATAAGTGGGGTGACATATCGGGATGTGAAGGGAACTTCTCAAAGTGAGATAGCAATTATTTTGGATTGCGGGGGCGTTACAGGCTGCACTGATATCTTTATGGATTCAATTAACATAACAGCAACTTCATCAGGATCAAAAGTTCGTGCTTCCTGCAACAATGTTCATGGATTTACTACTTTTACTTCACCTCCCGTGCCTTGCTTGTCATAATAACCCATTTCATCTAGTGTATATGTATATTTAGATATCAATTTAAATTGCATTCAACCAAAAAAATACATATTTTAATATTAAAAAAGTAAAAATTTGTGAATGTAATTTTTTTTTCAACTTCAGTTATATTTAACTCAATTGGTTTAAAAATGTTCCTTTTATTTCGATAAGAATGTACAATTTAGAAATTTCAAGCTCCAAATAATTAAGATAGCATTTTTTTTGGCTTACTATTTTCTTTGGTATTAGAGTTATTAATTTTAAGATATAATTAAATTTTATAATTTATAACCGTGAGATGAACATGAAAAAGTAAATTTATTCTAATATTAACATTATTTATAACCTCCCGTTACAAATGTATGTTAATTATAAGTTCATAAAATCAACATATAAAACATGAATCTGGAGATTACAGCAAATATCTGAATAAATTCGAGTGACGCACAATGCTGATCTTACGATTTCAATAAGTTCATAAAGATATATATATATATATATATATATATAAACCCGTACAATAAATGAAAAATAAACTAAAATGGATCAAGCCCTTCAGCCCAAACATGTGAAAGCAAGAGTGAATCCAACTCATTATACAGCAAAAAGTACTCGCATCGTGTGAACTGAAATAATGTCCTAAACCAGACAGTAGAAAAGTAAAAATAAAAAAGAAAAAAGATTGACTTATAATTTTTGTCCCCATTCATGACACAAGCCCTAACAATTCTTGAGTGCTTGCCCGTGAGCGCTTGCAAATCATACTGCTCATTCTTACACTTGCACACTGATATTCATCTCAACAATCAGCTAATCATATTTCAAATATGCCCATCTAAACTATACCTCATTGAAATCCATATATAGTGAAATGAAATATCCAAGCACATCTACCTTAAAACTAAAAGAGGAGCAAGTAAACAATAAATTTCATTTAGTAACAAGATTGGGTAAAAAAAAAGGAATTTCAAAATGCTATTGGTAGTTTAGAAAATTTCTTAAAGAAAAAATTGTAAACGTTAGACGTCCAAAAAGGAAATGTCCAATTAAGCTCGATCGAGTAAAAGTGTTTTGCAAGCTCTGGTAAGTTGATAAGCTCGCATTTGTTTACATTAAAGGACGGGGAAATTAAATTTTTTTATATCCATTGACCGATTATTTTAGCTCTGGTAAGTTGATAAGGCCACTAAGAAGTAAGAACATAAACGGATAACACTTATTGCGGATGACTAACCAATCATTTGGTCACTTAGAAGAGTAAAATATGTTTTCACGGTTTCACCTCAATTGTGATTGACACCTAAACAGTAGTTCCACGTTCCAGTTGACTCCCATAAACCAGAACACCGTAGTTAAACCGAGCTGCATAAAAAGATTATAACTTGGAAAGAGTCGTGTGAAGTGAATAAATAGCTCCTTATAATTGAAAACCCTCTTAAATTATTGATCAACATAACATACATAGAATACACGTTGAAATTAAGATTATGGTACAGTTCCAAAAGCAGTGAAGTGAATTGAGTTGTTTGTTTGAAAACATTGTAAACCCTCAAACGGTGTTGGCTCGAGAGGCAGAGGAAGAATAATATTGTGTATACCAATGCACAAATTTGCTCAAGCCGGTTTCGAAATCGGTGGTGGGCCTGTAACCAAGGTCGTTCCGGGCGAGGGTAATATTAGCATGCGTCAAAATAACATCCCCGTTGCTGGGCATTGCCAACACTTTCTTCTTCGCATTCACTTTCAGCAACTTCTCCAATGTGCTAACCAGCTTAGAGACGGGCACGGGCGAAGTGTTGCCCAGATTGTAAACCCTTAACTGGGCCGGCCCATTCTTCTTTCCCCCACTCCCAGTGCTCTTACTTGCAGTGTCCAACGCCCCCAAGCAACCCTTCACAATATCATCAATGTAAGTAAAGTCCCGCGCAACGGACCCTCCATTCGGACCCTCAAACACCGCAACCTGCTTCCCTTTTAAAATATTCTTAGTGAACAAGAAGTAGGCCATATCGGGCCGCCCCCAAGGCCCATAAACAGTGAAGAACCGGAGCCCAGTAATGGAAAGCCCGTAAATGTGGTTATAAGAGTGGGCGATTTCCTCGCCAGCCTTCTTCGTGGCGGCGTAGAGACTAGCGGGGCGGTCAGTGCGGTCTTTTTCTGAGAAAGGAACCTTCGAATTGAGGCCGTAAACGGAGCTGGACGAGGCCCAAACAATAGCGGGCTGGGGGTTGGCGTTCTTGCAGGCCTCCAGGACGCTCACGAGGCCCGCGATGTTGCTGTGGACGTACGACTTAGGGTTTATCATGGCGTAGCGAACCCCGGCCTGGGCCGCCAGGTGCATCACGTGACTGAATTTCACCACTTCCAAGAGGGAATTCAGGAGAGAGGCGTCGTTGATGTCGCCGTTCACCACCAACACGCCGTGCCGCGCCAGGAGGTCGCTGCGAGCGCGCTTCAGGGAAGCCTCGTAGTAACTGTTGAAGTTGTCGATGCCCACCACGCCGTCTCCGCGCCGCTTCAGGGCGATCGAGACGTGCGTCCCCACGAACCCGGCTGCTCCCGTGACGAGGACGGTGAGTGCTTTGGAGGAGGCAGGGGTGGCGGATTGGCGTACGGAGCTCTCCCAGGCGGCGGTGGAGGGTGGAGATCCGAATAGGAAGAGAAGAATGAGGCTGAGGAGCATTAGCGTGAAGAAGAGGAGCTTGGTGATGGAGAGTGGGAAGCGCGTGCGGTGAATGTTACTCATGGCTTTATCCACCATTAAAGATAAATGGTGTCGATAACCTCTCTATCTCAATTCTCAACTCAACTCTTTCTCTCTTATCTCTCAAAAGTCAAAATTCTTTTCTTTCAATATAGGTTTTGTATTTTGTTTTCCTGTTGGGCCTATTCTGTTATCTTATATAAGAAAATAAACATCAGATAATACCATCAATAAATAAATAAGAAAATGAGGAATCACCGTTTTGGGAGGCAGTTGGGATGCGGTGGATAAAGATCCAGTGTTTCGTATCGTCATCCCTTTCCTTTCGGTTTCTATTTTATCTGCATTATTTTTCCCACTCAATTTCTATCCAAATTATTATTTTACTACGTCCAATGACATCATAATTATTTATTTATTTATTTATGTAATTATAATTTTTAATATTAAATTATATTTGTACAACATTATTAACCTGTTGTTCCACTTCTTTTTGTTGTATAACTTTTTAATAACCGACTTTAACAGAAATATGCAGTAATATTCCACAACTGACCAGCTCCATATGAAAGCTTCAAACATATCTTCGATCACAAAAAATATCAAAAAGTATTTTAAGCTAGCTACTGTTTTTAAGAGGACATAAAAAAAATATCACTTTTAAAAGACATAAAAACTTGTAAAAAGAAAAAGAGACAATTCATCATTCTCAGATGTTCTAACGATAGTATTTTTTAATGATCCGAACAATATTTAATTAAATTTTGCAATAAATAAATATTATCCAGATAAATCATATGTTATACTTAAAATAAATAATTCATATAGTAATATAAATTTATTTTAAGTATTGATAATTCTCTTAAAAATAATATGAAAATTTAATTTGAGAAAAATTGAAAAAATTAATCTTTATATATTAAATATGAATATTTATTTTTTTAAAAGAAATTTTTATGAGAGTTTTTTTTTATAAAATCAACTTATTTAATTCAATTTTTATTTATTATAATTATTATGAATTAAATTTTAATATTTTAATTAAATAAAAATATTATTATGCCAAAGTGATCCAATATCTATCACCTATTCATGTTGTACGTGGCAAAGTTAGTCTTCTCATACAAGAGAAAGTTCAGGATGCACAAATGGCAACTAGTTACAAGAGAAACCTTCTTACTTTGTTTCAAAGTTCAATAATTATCTTGTTAAATTATATATAAATATAGTTTAAATAATTATTGTATTTAATTGTTTTTAAAATGTTTAAAAGGGGGCCTACGGTCTCGTTGCTATTTAGTCAATAATTTCAGTAGTTTTTGATATATATAAAAAAAAAAATATATTACAATATATCCATAAATGGTTATAAGTGTGCAAACATTATAGTTCAATATGCATATATATAGTTGATATATAATGTTAATAAGTGGTACATTTTAAAATTAAGAATCGGATTAGTTTCCTCCACTCTCATTAAGTATAAGTTGATCACCGTTTCATAGGGGTGTGCAAAAAAATCTAAATTAATCTGAACCGATTCATAACCGATTCGATCCATTTTGAAAAAAAATCCGAACTGAATCACTTTATAAAACTAGTTCAGTTATCTGATCTATTTTTACCAAGTAAATCAGTTCGGTTCAGTTTGGATCAGTCTAAAAAAACCGATTTATATATAAGTAAAAAAGTAGATAACTACACCGTACCGAACCGATCTAATTTTAAAAAAATTGATCCATATTTAAACTATAGATTAACCGATCTACTTTTTATAAAACCGTTCTATTCGCTATCCACTTTTATAAAATTGTTCGATTCACTTACCAACACTCTACTGTTTCACGATGTTTAAATAAAACAAACGATATGTAATGTAGCAGAAAGGCTACTAAAGGACCGGTTTACATCTTTGATAGAAATTGGGTGCAGCAGAGTGGAGGCCCATCCATTACTTTCGCAGAACGCCCATCACTCTCTCTCTCTCCATTGACAAAACACTAATCGCGTCTCAAATCGAACTTGGATCAGGTATTAATTTTCTCATCGTTGTGGTGTCATTCTGATTCTCTCTTCCCCTCTCTTCTCCCTGCTTTTCATATTTACTTCTTCTTTTTTTCTCCTTGTGTTTTAGTTAGCGCGAAGACAAAACAAGTTGTTGATTCTGCTACCAAACATAGCACGGTGGTGGATTAACATTAAATAAGGCTACAGATATTATATTCTTTTCAACAAGGTTTGAAATTGTTTATATTCTATATATGCTAATGGTAGTTTGTCTTTCACAAATCTGTTTGATGCTCATGATTTTGTTCTTAATCTCTGTTATTCATGAATACTTCTTGAATAATCTGAAGTTGTAGGTATAGATTTTATGTGTGGTTTATTTTGCGTAGTAGTGCTCAGTGGTGGTTCGACTCTATGGCTAATTATCTAGTTTGTTCTGTAATATTTTAAGGCTTGGATAGTGAGATGGGGACCAAGGCAGAAAAAGCTACGAAGAAGAATTTGAAAAGGGTTACCGCTAATAAGTCATCTGAGGATGCTGAGGTTTTGGTATATGAATTTTGATAACCTATGCTCTCAATTTTCATTTTTTTAATCTCAACAGTGTGCATAATTTTGCTGCCCAATTGCTGAAGCCTTTCGAAGGTGGTCCTGCTTGCAAACGACCTGAACAGAAGCCGCTACAGAATACTGCCACAGTTTTGTATGTTGGTCGGATTCCACATGGATTTTATGGGAAAGAGATGGAAGGTGCTCATGGGTTTTGTTGTTTTTAGAATTTTAGATAACTTTCTTGGAGTACGGTGTTTATAATTGCTATTTCTAGGTTATTTTGCACAATTTGGAACCATCAAGAGATTGTGAATTGCTAGAAATAAAAGGGTTAGTGGCATGGTTTTTTGCTTATTTCCTATTTATCTGTGTGTTATTGTTTTCACAATTGTGTGATTGTATTAACTTGATGATGATTTGTGACATAGTTGTTTACATCGATCTATTTACTCTGATGTGGTTGATGGTACCAATTTATTTGGTCGTATTTTTGTATAATTTTTCATTTTGATATGTGTGCGGATGTGCATGTATGATGTGTATCATGGGAGAGGATTCAATCTTGGCATCATTCATGTGCGGTTGTATGTTCATGATTTATTTTGCTCATCTAATGCTCTGTTTGTGTGTGAATTTAAGAAAAAGGTTCAAATGTATTGTTAATAGTTTTCATTAGAACCGACTTTCTGGAAGATAAAGCCTGTTTGAATTAATATTTTAGCACCGAGTTCAGAAATACATATTCGCTGTTGAATTACCATTTTTCTGATGATTGAAATTGGTTTTAGTTATGCTGACCATATGTGCTTGTTGATGTTTAATAGACAGGAAAATCAAAACATTTTGTGTTCATAGAATTTGAATCTGCGGAGGTAGTTATTTCAACTGACTGTTTGATGTGTTTTGACTTTTGGCAATTATATTCGTCACAATATTTGATTTCCTTCTAATAATGCCTTGATTTGTAGGTAGCAAAAATTGTTCGTTACCATGCACAATTATCTTCTTTTTGAACACCTTCTCCAGGTTTATGTGATACCTCCAGAACAGGTTCATCCAAAAATGTAAGTCATTAATTAATTATCCTTTTTTTTCCATATCTATTTTCTTTTAAGGATACGTCTCATTTTTCTTTTCGTCTCATTTCTTTTCTTTTGTGTGAAAAAAGTATTTATTAAGAGATAAAAGAAAATACTATCAGACGATCAGGAATTCCCTAAAATTTCTTTGAATTTTATTTCTTTTGGGGGTAGCTAGAGTCAAAGAGAAGGAAAGATAAATCAGCGCACTAAAGCTTTCTAATATCTGGATATCAGATAATAGGGGTTTATTATCATTTCTGTTCCATAGAAATTCTATGAAGTTGTAGCACTACAGGCCCATTAGTTTGGTGACACTTTTGTTCAAGACGATTGTAGGCAATATTATTATTCTGAGCCCTATAACCGAACCTCCCAAAAGAATAGAACTCGCAAGATACCGTGTGTAGAGAAACCCAAATAGTAGCTAGGATTTAGGAAAACTTCCATATCCAAGAATGGGTGAGAACAGCTGGCTAAAGCCTTTCATTGCATTTTAACCAAAGGGATGTTATAAATATACAACAATTTGTGCAACACCATTATTTGTGTCTATTTCTCGCTATCTCATCATTTATTACATTTCAATTTTCTCTCTATCTTTTTTCCCTTAGTTGTACAAATTACATAAATATCATTTCTTTTAACCAAATACCCCACATGCATGAAAAATGAGCGGAAATCCCAATTCTTTAAAATGCTTATTTCGTCATATTATGTGTGTCTTGACTAAGGTAAACGAATTAGTTTCTTATGTTGAATATCATCAAAGGGATCAAATGAATATGTGGGAATTTTCTTTATAGATGAAGAGGATTCAATTATCGTCACAAGCCATTGGACTCTGTCCAAATTGAACTGAAGCAACATGACAAGGTATCTAGTTCAATGGATAAGTAAGTCTGCATTCTGTTTGATTCTTGCTATTAACCAAAGTCTGTTTTGTTCCTTGATGCTGTTCTTCCAGGAAAGAACTTTGGAAGATTACAAGAAGTTGGTGGAAAAGATTATGAAACATGACAAAAAGCGGCGTAAAAGGATAGAGGCTGCTGACATTGATTATGAATGGCCTCAGATTGTGAGTTTTTCTTCCTATATTAATTTGTGGTTTGCTTATTTGTTTTTGTAAAAGTAGAAAAGTCCTCATTTTGAGTTTTGCTCTCATGCTTCATGCAATTGCCGTTACAGGTGGTGGGTGACATCCAGCCTACTCCAAAGAAAATAAAGTTTGAAGACTGAGTTGGGTTACCTGTCTCGTCATCTTGAGCTATTATTCTCGGTATAGGTGGTGTCATTTATGTGCATTCTTTGTCATTATGTCTTGCTTGATTTATAGTATTTTCTGTTCCACTTATCGTGTAAATAGATGATTTTGCTGTATATCCTGCGAGGTAATATTGAGAAGTTAATTTAAGTGAGGTTGTTTTGTTACCTTTCTTCTTCCCTCAGATGCGTTAGAGGAAGGATGATGATCTTCAATCACAATAGGCTGTTTTTTGACTTTACTAACGTCAGCTTTCGCAGTTTTGCGACTCCGGAAACCTCTTGTATTCTAAAGTATATTTATAGAATCATAAGTCATTTCGCATTTTCATCAGCCCTTGAAACAGCTGCCCGTGCCTTCACTTTAACAATTTTTTTATTATAAAATAAATCTTCAATATTTTTGCCAGGATTCAAATCACCGTGGTATTTTGAACTTAGAAAATTATATAAATTTATTGACCAAAAAGAAAAGAAATCTTTTGCCAGTTGTATACTACGCTATAATGGTATATAAGACACCAAAGTTAGCCCAGAAATTGTTTATATGCATGTACTTTTCCAAACTTTAGCCCCTTGTATTTGAAACAGCCAACTGCGCAAAAGTCCCGTGTTCACCACAACTATCACATGTGCATCATCAAAGAAATAGAGTTATCTATTCACAGCAACTTGCAAATAAGATTGCCAAAACGAAGCATACATCGGTCTTCCATGTTACGTTAATATTAGACGCCTTCATCATCCAGAATCCATATCTTGTAATCAAGTTTAGTAATTGTTTAGATAATCCAGATTTGTTACGGGTTTGCTAATAGTTTTCGAAATTAGTGTCTTTGGTATCTATTTTAAAGGAGTAGCATGCACAAGATTTTCTAACACGTATGGCCCAACGTGAAGGTACTAGGTTGACCATATAAAATATTTAATTACATATAGTATTATTATTTAAACACATTCTTGACATGGACCAGATAGTTTGAAGAAATGGACATTTGCTATTCGTGTTCCTTTCACCGTTGGTATCACATGTTCGTATGTGCATTTGGCTATTATTATCAATTGGAACAGCTGTGGATGATGTGTTGAAAGCCCTCTCCCAGAGCATTTATCAAGACATTGAAACAGATTTTGTAAAGATCATGTGGATTTGTGAAACATCTGCAAGTTGATAAAGCTTTTCAGTAAAGGTGTGAAAAGGCAGTCTTGAAACTTTTTATGGTATGATTTTGGTTGGACCTCACTGCTGAGCGTATCCGATCAAGGGCACGGCAGATAATAGGAGTGTTAAATTAGGTTTAATTTAATGGATTGATCGTATAATTCGTGCAAATGAAATGGGTTGAGTTACAATTTTTTTACTTTCCAATTCGAGTAAACCAACTCGTATAACTTGATAACTCTGCAATTGAATTATGTATTTATTTTATTATTTTTTATGGATATTGAACATTTAAATTATTTGATTTGTTATTAGTTTAATAATATTTTTCTCATGAATTTGAAGATAATTTAAGACAAAAGTAAAAATAATTTGTAATTTTTTAATTGATGGATACTTGATCCAACTCCAACTGCAACTCATGAGATTGGATTGAGATTTGAAATATAATAGACCATCTATTAATATTTTATTGATCAAAATAAATTCAACATAATTATTTTATCAAATAAGTGTTTTATTCAAATTTATTTGTTAAATACAGCATTTCTTCATTTGTCTGCATTAACTATAAGGCAGCATTGAGATATGAAATAATAATTTTGGGACACCTGGACAGTAAAAATTCTCATGGAGATTGATAATTTTTCTCATATTATCCCTTTTTGTTAATTATATTATATATAGTATCATATCAGCTTATTCAATTTACATTTCTTTGACTCTAGTAGTCTAGGAACATGATCCATCATTTTCATATAAATAAAGTTAAGCCCCCCCGACACTCCTCATGTCCTGGAAATTAAAGTAGACAAGAGACTTGAAACGATAATTGGAGAGTGCAATGGGAATGAATCCATAACGTTAGGTGATGACCTATACGGAAGCTCTTTCGTGCTTGATTTTTAGTTGAGATTGGTGGTCTTGGCTCCAGCCAAAATATCTCTGCTTAAAGTGCTCCGGTGCCCGTATCTCTTGCCAACTCTCTTCTTGCTTTGTGGGCATCCTCTGTTCATTGGGTTCATACTTCCCAGTGCTCCCTATTAGGGGTGGCTTTTTGCCTCTTTGACTTCCTGCTTCGTTCAAAACCTTAATTCAAACCATTCTGTAATTTTTTAAAAATATTAAATTGAATAAAACTCTAGATTCTGAAATTTCCAACGTGCACCCCTTGAAGTTGAAGCAAAACATTATTCACAGTAATTGTGAAACTGATATGGTGCATTAAAAACAGAGGAAGAGACAAAGTAGCGCTCTAATGCATTCAGTTAATGTTGGAAAGCATCCAATTTTTGTAACAAAGTAGCAGCTGATGTGAAGGGTACTGACATTCCTCTCCAAAAGAAAACGAGACTCCCTCAGCTTCCTTTATTTCTTTTGAGTCCTCCTATTTGGAATAATTAAAATTGTTTGATTGATGAATGGGGTGAAAGGAAAAGGGGGTTAAGATAAATTAAAGTGGATGAAACAAAAAAAGAAAAGAGGAAAGTAGAAAGTGGAAAGGACATGGAGAAGTAGTAGACGTGGATAGGAGCATCGATCCTCCAACAGGGCAACACCCAATGGGTGGGTTCGGACCACGCTCTTGTGTTGGCGGTCCCCCTTTTCAAACTAAAACAAACACTCCCAAAATCCCCATTCTACCCCTACCCTTCCTTTTCCCGCGCAATTCTCAAATCAGATGACGACAACCACCATCATCATCATCATCAATGTATATCATCCTTCCCTCGGCCCCACACCCCTCTCCTTCACTTTAAGAATCTATCTGTCCTCCATTACCCGCAAATCAATGTCACCAAAAATACATACAAACATTTTCTCTTCCTAGTTTCATTTTTTTATTTTTTTTTATATTTTTTTAATCCACGCCGTTCTCTTCAACTTAATCACTATCACTTCACACTCTTCTATTTCTTTCTCCCCCTAATAATAATAATAATAATAAATAACACAAAACGAATAAGCTTTTTGGGATGTCTATAATATAAAGAACCTTCGCCCACTCAAACATCACGTTTCGTACTCACCTCACCCAAAAAATGTGCCCAACCCCATCGCCGCTCCTCCCCCTTCTCCTCCTCCTCCTCGCCGTGGCTCCGGCCTCGGCATGGCGTCCGTGGCCGCCGCGCAACAACAAAATGAACACCACCGATTACGCCTTCGGAGACTCCAAGAAATACGAGGGTTCCTCGGAGTTCGTGAAGCTGAGGTACCACATGGGACCGGTTCTCACCAGCAACATCACCGTCCACACCATCTGGTACGGAAAATGGGAGAAAAGGCAGAAGAAGATCATCCGCGAGTTCATCAACTCAATCTCGGCAACGGCGGCGCCGCACCCATCGGTGGCCGGGTGGTGGCGCACCGTGGAGCTGTACACGGACCAGACCGGATCCAACATTTCGAAAACGGTCCGGCTGGGGGAGGAGAAAAACGACCGGTTGTACTCGCACGGGAAATCCCTGAGCCGTCTCTGGATCCAGTCGGTAATAAAGAGCGCCATCACAGCGAAAACGAGGCCCTTGCCGATTAACCCTCGGAGCGGGTTATATCTTGTGCTGACAGCCGATGACGTGTACGTGCAGGACTTCTGCACGTCGGTGTGTGGGTTCCACTACTTCACGTTTCCCTCGCTGGTGGGTTACACGCTCCCCTACGCCTGGGTGGGTAACTCCGCCAGGTTCTGCCCCGGGCAGTGCGCCTACCCCTTCGCCGTCCCCCCCTACATCCCCAACCGAAAGCCCTTCAAGTCCCCTAACTCCGACGTTGGAGTCGACGGCATGATCAGCGTCATTGGCCACGAGATGGCTGAGCTTGCCACCAACCCCCTCGCCAACGCTTGGTACGCCGGCCAGGACCCCTCTTTCCCCGTCGAGATTGCCGATCTCTGCGAGGGCATTTACGGCACCGGCGGCGGTGGCTCCTACACCGGCCAGGTCCTCGACGCTCGAGATGGCGCCACGTATAACATGAATGGCATCCGACGGCGCTTCCTCGTTCAGTGGGTGTGGAGCCACGTTCTCAATTACTGTACTGGACCTAATGCTCTTGATCACTGATCACTTATCACTCTCTGCACCCTATTTTTCTTTTTCTTTTTCTTTTTCTTTTTCTTTTTGGTACCTTTCCTTTGGGCTTGTGGCTTTTCTGGTAATTTTGTTAAGCTAGTAGTTAAGTTTGTCCATTTATGCAAATAATGTAATTTATTGTTACTTCATATCATATATCTTATATCATATATCTTATATCATATGGAAGGGGAATCTTGAATCACACGGAGATTGTGTGTTATGAATCATGATTGGAATGGGGGAATTAAATAGGATTAGGCGTATTTTTGTTTCATTTCTGGAAAGAATTAGAGCGGCGGAAATGAGTAATCTATTGAATGCCACAGAAACGAAGACTCTTTCTCTTTGGCTCATGTTCCGTTCCTGTTGCACCTGCACCTGCACCCCACAATTGCCCATTCTTTTCTCCTTCTAAACCTACCATCTACCCTTGTCACACAAAAAACAAAATAACTGAAATACCAATAATGCAATTATTATACCTATTAGCCTACCCTCTCCAACGCTATCTACGCTACTCTCTTCACTCCTACTACATACCACACTTTCAATTTTCAAACTCACCCTATTATTTTATTATAATCCAAAATCAACCCAACCCATTTTTATCTGCTTTCCTATCTTTCAAATCTCACAATTTCAAACTACTTTCCAACCATCAAAACTCAAAACTTTAATACAAATCCTAATAAGATACATATGTTATCTTACTATTAAGATTTATTACCAAAAATAATCAAATAAAAAACATTCGATCTAAAATTACATCTTTTTATTATATTTTATCAATATAAACTTGTATGTACTCCATAAATTTTAAATAGTTTAGATATTTTTAATCTTTCAAATTTAAAATTATATTTTTTAGTCTTTATAATTTAAAAAAATATTTTAATCTTTATATTTAAAATTTGTATTATATGTAGATATAGAAAAATTCAGGGACACTAAAAGTAAATTAAAACAATTGTTATATGTAATTAAAATTGTTTAAATAACTTTAAAATACATATATAAAATACTTATAAATACAAATACTTTATTATTTGTTTTCGTATATTAATAAGCTATTATTGACATAATTATCTATTATTATGCATCTATAAAAAATATATTCAAAAATATCCATAAGTACGAATTTTCTATTTTATTTTTAGGTATGAAAGGTTCCACGATGAAGTGTGTACGAAAATTTTAGACATAGGTAGAACGTTAATTAATGTCGAATGATTAAGAGATTAATAGTAATTTTTATTAAAAATTACATAATATATTCATTAAACATTATGGTAAAACAATATTTAATATTTTATTTAGGCGTTTAATTAATACTTTTAATATTTGTCTATAATATATTTAAGATAGTATTAATGTGACACCAATGCTGTCTTGTCTTAGAGGATATTATCATTAAGATCACTTTTGGAATCTTTAAAATTAAAACGTGTGTCGTGTAG